ACTGGTCCCTTCCGACAACACGACCAAAGTATAAGAGACAAAGTCTGGCTATTCTTGCTTCTAAGAAGCATTCTGGCTGTACTTCCTCCAAGACATATTTGTTCCTTCTGGCAGTCCATGGAACATTCAGTATTCTTTGCCAGCACCACAATTCATGTGTGTCATTTCTTCTGTGGTCTTCCTTATTCATTGTCTACTTCTAATTATTGTAGCTTTATAATATGTCTTGATAGCTGGTTAAGTAAATCCTCCAATTTTGTTTTTCTATAAGTTTCTTTTGTCTATTCTTGGACCTTGGCATTTTCATTAATTTTGGAATCAGCTTGTTAGTTTTAAAAAAAAGTCTTCAGAGTTTTTGCCAGCGATTATGTTGACTCTAAAGAAAAATTTGGAAAATATTTTCCCACTGGACATAGAATTCTGTGTTGTCAGGTGTTTTCTTTGAGCATTTTGAAGCTCTCATTTCATTTTTTATGCTATCTATTGTTTCTGTTGAGAAGTCAGCTATAAATCTTATGAAATCTCCTCTAAAGGAATATGTATATCTTGCTTGGTGTTCATAGTGCTTCTTGAATCTGCGACTTGATAATTTTCATCAGTTTTGAATAATTCTAAACCATTGTCTCTTTGAATATTTTTACTGCCTCATTTTTTTCTCTCATAATTCTGGATCTCTAATTATATGTACTTAGACAAGTACAGCCAGAATTCTCCTTAGAAGCAAGGATGGTAAGACTTTCTCTCATGTACTTTGGGCCTGTTATTGAGGGACCAGTCTCTGCAGAAAGACATCATATTTGGTAAAGTACAGAGTCAATGAAAAAAGGAGGACCTTCAATGAGCTAGACAGAGTGGCTGCAACAGTGGGCTGAAACATAGCAACATAGTGAAGATGGCACAAGACCAGGCAGTGTTTCTTTCTTTCTATTGTGCATCGGGTCACTGTGAGCTAGAACCTATTCAGTGGCACCTCACAACAGCCCAACAACACATGTATGTTAGGTTTTTCACAATGTTACGTATATATTTTATACTCCATTCTGTATTTTCTACCCCTTTTTCTCTCATAATTCCATCTGAATATTTTCTTTTGACCTGATTCACCAGTCTTCTTCAGCTGTGTTAAATATGCTGTTAAATACATTCTGGGATCTTAGTTTCAGTTATTGTATTTTCCAGTTTTAGAAATTCACCTTGTGGTAGTTATGGTTGTTGTCAGCTTGGCTGGCCCTGGTTGAGTGGCTGGGCAGCTGGAGGTAATTATTCCCCATGATGAGTCTGGCAGTCACCTCACAAGTAGGTGAGTAGCTGCTTTAGGGATGTGGTCTGCTTCCAGCATATAAGAAGCAGCTTTGGGAATGGTCTCTAGCTTATGGAACGCTTGAACCCTGCATGTAGCTGAGTCATTGTGCAGCAGCCTGCCATGCTCTGCCAGTTCTGGGACTTTAAGTAGACTTAAATCAATGGCCTGCTGTGTTGTTTGGTAATATTGGGACTGTGCCTTTTTATTTGTTGACCTTGGGTTTGTCAGCCTCAGCAGCCAGCAGCTGTCTCAGTGAAGAAAAGCCTTCAGCTTCAGTGGGCCAGGAGTAGGAGGCAGAGCTAAAGCCCAAGGTTTAGGGGCTTTCACCTAGCCCCTAGAGCCTGGCACTTTGAACTTGGACTTAAAGCCTCCAAACGGTAAGACATAAACTGTTTGTTAAAGCTGTCCCATTTGTGATATATTCTTGTCAGAGTGGCACTAGGTAACCAGAACAGAACAAACCAGGACACATCTGATTTTTAAATATCATTTTGTCTTCTTACTAATTTCTTGAACATATTAACCATGATTGTTTCAAAGACTATATTTGATGATTCTAGTCTTAGTTTTTGGTCATTTTGGCTTTGTCTCCTGGTAAATTAATAATATTTTTATTGAATATCAGACATTCAGTATGAAAATTATAAAGATATTCTGCTGTTTATCTTTTTCTAGAAAGGATTTTATTGCTTCTGGCAGACAGTTAGCATCAGGACATGTCATCTTGATCCATTCAGAAATTAGGCTGTTTTGAGTTTGGATTTTGTGAGGGCTGTTCTATTTCTAGCTTACCTCTATGTCTAGGGTAGTAAATTTCAGGGGTCCAACTCAAGGAATGAGGTGTTTGTTTACTAGGACTCCCTGATCCTTGGCGTGGACTCTAACTTCCAGTTTTTGTCCTGTAATCCCTTAAGACTACTGGAAATTCTATACAGTTTGTCAGCCTCTTAGCTATCACAATAGAGATGAATTTCTCTGGCTCATCTCTCTATATGGTTTCTGGGATATTAGCCTTTCAAGTTCTTGCCTTCTTGGAAGATTGCGATGATTTCAAATTGATTTTAAAAACTATTTTGTCAAGCTTTTCTAGTTCTCAGCAGGAGGTTTGGTATGCAGCAAGCTATTTTTTGCTTTATTAGAAGTAGAAAAACCTGATTTTGTTTCAGTGTCAGCTTTTGATCATTCCTTGTTAGTCACAATGAGACCAATAAGCAACACCATGATAAGTGGAGAAAATATTGAAATTGTCAAGGATTTCCTTTTACTTGGATCCACAGATCACACCCACAGAAGCAGCAGTCAAGAAATCAAACGACATACTGCTTTGGGCACAACTGCTGTGAACGACCACTTTAAAGTGTTAAAAAAAAAAAAGATGTCAGTTTGAAGACTAATTGTGCCTGACCCAAGCCATGGCATTTTCAGTCATCTCATATGCATGCAAAAACTTGTGGACAATAAATAAGGAAGACCAAAGAAGAATAAATGCCTTTGAATTAAAGTGTTGACAAAGAATATTGAATATACTATGGACTATCAGAAGAATGAACAAATCTGTCTTGGAAGAAGTACAAACAGGGTGCCTCTTAGAAGTGAGAATTCTGAGACTTCGTCTCACATACTTTGGACATGTTATCAGGAGGGACTGGTCCCTGGAGAAGGACATCACACTTGGTAAAGTAGAGGGTCAGCAAAAAGAGGAAGTTCACAATGAGAAGGACCCACACAGTGTCTGCCACGATGGGCTCAAACACAGTAACGATTGGGAGGATGGCACAGGACCAGGCGGTGTTTTGTTCTGTTGTACATGGGGCTCTATGAGTTGGAGCTGACTCATGGCATCTAACAACAACAGTTAATTATAAGAACCCTGGTTTGAGGATTGATGGGGATTCCTCCAGAAAGGCACTTGCATTTGCTTCTGCCAGTGCTTGGGGGATCTATCAACTTAGGACCATGAATTACTCTACATGGGGTTTTCTGAATCATGCAGTGGTATGATTCTGAACCCCATACATGTTGTTGTTATGTGCCATCAAGTCAGGTCCGACTCATAGTGACCCCTACTTGGGCTTCCGAGGCATTACAGATTCTCAGGGGAGACTTCTTTCTTTTTGCCCAGAGTTAAAGCCAAAATGGACACGTTCTCTTGTCATCTTCCTTTGGGGGCTGAATTTTTTTTTCTAGTTTATCTCTGATTATGTAGCCCTTTGAGGACTTTGGCTTTGTTATGAATTTCCATTTCAGTTCCTACCTTGAGTGGCCTGATGACCTTGTTTCCTGCTCCTCTGCTCTACAGTTACTAGGGATAGGCTTCAACTCCTGCAGGCTTCCCTGGATTTGTGCTTCTGCCTTTTCTTTGGCTTCTGAAAAAGTTTCTGATATTCTGTGGGCTGTATATTTAAAAGTATTTTTTAAAAATATTTTATCCATCCTTCTTAAGTGGTTCATATTACAAGCGTTTTTAGGATATCTCATTAACCACATTGCTGGAAAAAGAAGGTATCTGTTTCTTCTATGAGGTGGTTTCTAGAACATCACAGCACCTCTTCTTTGGGCATCTCTGTTTAGTCAGTGTTTCTTTTCTCTGTGAAGGCCCGCCCCATTACAGTTCTTGAGATATGACCTGACTAGCCTGAGTATAAAGTGATCAACATTATGTCCCTTATTCTGTATGCATTGTATAAACTTATTCAGCCTAGGAATATGTCAGAATATTGAACATTGGGTCACTGTTAATTTACTCAGAATTTGTGCTTAATTGAACAGCTGTTCCATAGATATTTTTACTTTTTTGAAATGTAAACACGTTTTTAAATTTCTAGTCTGTTTGTCCCTAGTGCCTAGCACAGAATAGCCTCTTAGTAAATGAATTAAGGAGATTTTTCCCTTTAAAACTTTTCCATATTAGTTCTGATTTATTGTTTCAACTTAAGATAATTTTGAATCCTGATCCTGTTATTCAATATATTAGCAACCTTATTGTCATTGTATCATTTGTAAATTGAACATCTTTATTCAAAATAGCTAAGGATTGAACCCTGAAGCACTAAAGCCTTCTTTGTAGATTTTGTTGTTGTTGTTACAAGCCTTCGAGTCGCAAGCAACCCCTCCTTGGGTTTCCGAGGCGGTATCACTATGGAAGTAGATTGCCCAACCTTCCTTCCGAGGAGTGGCTGGTGGGTTTGAACTGCCAGCCTTCTGGTTAGCAGTCAAGTGCCTTAGGCACTACGCTACCAGAGCTCCTATAAACCAAACAAACCAAACTCACTGCTGTCGAGTTGGATCCAACTCATAATGACCCCTCCTTGGGTTTCCAAGGCAATATCTCTACAGAAGTAGGTTGCCCAGTGTTCCTTCTGAGGAGTGGCTGGTGAGTTTGAACCACCAGCCTTTTGTTGTAGATGTTGTTTGTTGTTGTTATGTAGCTATCAATTATTTAATCAAAGTTTTTTGTCTTTTGACCAGCATGAATATACCTAAAGATACTATTTCCCTACTTATTTTTTCACAGTAGTCTACCAGGTTAAAATGAGAGGTCTTGTTAAATACTCTTAACTTACTCTAAGCAGTGGGGGATAGGCAGAAAGGCAGCATTCCATGAAAACTCTAAGACCAGGGGCCTAAAACAGCCTGGGCCTAAGAAGCAGGAGCCTATATAGAGCTCCAATACTTTCCCTTTAATACCCCTGGGCAGGTGCTAGTGGATGTGCCCTGTACCACAGACCGCCACTCCCTTCATGAGGAAGAGAACAACATCTTTCAACGGTCAAGGAAGAAGGAGCGGCAGATGTTGCCTCTACTGCAGGTGCAGCTTCTCGCGTGAGTGATAGATTTAAAAAACTCAGACTTTGGCCAGGGTGCTCTAGGAGTAGCTCTAGGTAGCCTTCATGAATTCAGTTATACTGTCTTACCCTATGCTACTCCCCAGAGAACAGCAGATATTTGAAAAAATAGCTTCTGAGGTCAAGGCTCTGTAGGGCTGCGCTAAGTACTCAGTGTATAGCCAGCATTGGAGTTTGGTACATAACTGGATTCAGAATCCAGGGAATCATTTCAAGAAGGCTTCCTGGAGTAATGTTAGGTTGCCATCTGTCTTGAAAATGATTTTTCAGACAGTATCATTATAGAAAGGACTTCAGATGCTGTCTGACCTAGCTACCCACCCAGAGCAGATACTCCTCTCCATGCTTCCAGCTCCCTCGGTTGCCCTTCCTTTGCTGGGAAGCTCACTAGTCACTGCTTCTCTCTTCCTCTCTGGTTTCAGGGCTGGACTCCTTGCCACCAAACCAGGAGGCTACGTTGTCTATTCGACCTGTTCGCTCTCACACTTACAGAACGAATATGTGGTGCAAGGCACCATTGAGCTCCTGGCCAATCAATACAGCATTGAAGTTCGGGTTGAAGACCTGACTTACTTCCGAAAGCTCTTCATGGACACATTCTTTTTCTTCCCATCCTGCCAGATGGGGGAGCTGGTAATCCCAAACCTCATGGCCAATTTTGGCCCTATGTACTTTTGCAAATTGTGTAGGCTGACGTAGCATCACCCTGTCCCTAAGGCCCTGGTGTATATAGGAAGACAAAGGGTGTACTCTATTGGAGGGCACCAGGAACTGATACCCATGGCAGAGAAGCACTCTGAGTCCTGTCTCCATCCTGTGCAAGTCTCTCTGCAGACAGTTTTCAGCAGAGGAAGTAGGACTATCAGCAGTTTTCTAACCCATTTGTGCCCTACCCCCTACTTGTCTCTAAGCATGTGTTAAAGGTTCCTGCCCCACTAGGGGCTTAGGAGGAGGAGCCAGTGAGCCTGCCCACACATGACCCTGGAAACTTGGGAAGAAGCATTTAGTCAGTAGAGCTGTTGAACCTCTGTTGAGCTGGTACTATAATTGGAGGCCTCATGTCAGTCCAAATGCAGTTGGTTCCACTTGTACTGGCAGTTGCTGCTGAGCACTAACTCCTAGGATTAGCTGCCCAAAGCCTAGAACCTCAGCTTGGTTACAGACCTCTGATTACAGAGCCTCCCTCCTACCTGGTGTGTTCTACCTTGAGCAGTCTATATACCCAAACAAGCCTACCTAGTTTCTCCATATGGCACATGATCTAATTTAAGGAACAAGTAACTAAAAATGTTAAGCCAATGTACGATAATCTGCTTACTTACGTTGGAAAGCTCTTCTGAGCTGAATAATCCCAGAAAGCCCTGTTGTCACCAGCATTGCTGCCCATATGACCGGGAGAGCGGCTCATGCACAGGGCTTCTGTGCTTGTGTGTGTGTGTTTCTTCCTTTGTTCACTCACCCGGCACATATTCCCTGAACTCTTGCTGTATGCCAAGTGTCTAGAATGCTGCTGAAGATGTAGCAATGGAGATTATGAGAGACAGGCCTCCTCATTCTTCGGAATGGCAGATCTCCTCCTCCTGCTTTCTGAGCCTTGCCTTTGGTTTTGTTTTGGTTCCTGGTCTGTAACTGAACTCTGGTGCCAGGTCTTTGGCCACGCTCCAATCCCTCAAAGCTTTTACCTCAGCATCACAGGGCCTCACCTTACACAGTGTGTGTTCAGGGACAACATTACATCATTTACCAACTGTAAGCTAGTTACGTTGTTTTATAATTTTAGCCAAAAAAGGTAAACCTTTAATGGCAAGGATATTAAAAAAAAAAAAAATACTGTGGTCGCTTGCAGATACTGCTTTTTTATTTAAAAAAAAAAAAAAAAAAACTTTCTTTGGTTGGCAGAACGCTTGTCCTAACATTGTTTCTATGTGAAAGCACGTTGTAAGATGCCCTATCACCTCTTGTGATATGGCAGCTTTGGAAAGCAATGGAAAGGCCCGAGAGTGTGGTGGAAGGGAGGCTCTGGGCCATTAAAATGGGTTCTTCCGTCTTGCCACTTTTGACACGCTATGTTCAATTAAATCAATAAATTGTTGTTATTGTCAGTTGCCATTGAGTTGGGTCTGACTCGGGATGACCTACATACAGTGAAACAAAGCATTGCCTGGTCCCCCCCCCCAAAAAAAAAAATCCTTCTTTGTTCTATTTGGCATTTGTATGTAATTTTAGAACACTTAAAGGTCTCCTGGATCTTTCTATTTCTCTTATCCCTCTTCTTCCTCCTTTGTCCATTATACCTTTTCCACTAATCCGTGTTTGGGTATTAGAGGTGTCAGCTGAGAAGTACTTTAGGTGAGGTTAAGCTTTCTCCTTTCTTGGGATTTACATTTCAACACAGGACCCTGGAAGACCTTCTGGACTCAAGTCAAGTAAAGCTAGGAGGATGGAGCCTCAGGGAGTTTAATTGGTTCTCTGAGTGAGACCCTAACCATTCTCCATATATGGCGAGTGGTCCCTGTCTGCTGTTTACTCAGTGCTCAGTATTTGTTGAGGTAGGAGGCCTGAGGTGCATGTAGTTTGCCTTTGGCCTCCTGGGTGCCCAGCCTGTACTAGTACAATGCTAAGTAATGGTAATTCAAGAGGAGAGTCTCCTGCCCCTTAGCTCACGGTCTAACGGGATAGACAGACCGAGATAAGAAAAGAAGAGAACTACTTTGCAAAACTGTGTGATCATCTCCTGTAATTGCACATTCACCTATACTACCCTAGGGCTAAATCCAAGAGAAACTCATACATGTATACCAGGAGGCATATACAAGAGTGTTTGTATCAGTCCTCTTCACAGGAGCCAAAACCTGGCAACAACCCAGATGCCTAGCAGCAAGAAAGTGGATGACTAAACTGGAATAATCTCACAATAAACTATCATACAGCTGTCAAAACCCATGAACTATACTGATCTGTAAAAATATGGATGAATCTTAGCAAAAAAAATTAAAAAAACCCCACCAAACTCACTGCCATCGAGTCGGGTCTGACTCATAGTGACCCCTTCTTGGGTTTCTGAGGTGGTATTTCTATGGAAGTAGATTGCCCAGTCTTCCTTCTGAGGAGTGACTGGTGGGTTTGAACCACCAGCCTTCTGGTTAGCGGTCAAATGCCTTAGGCACAACATCAGAGCTCCCAGCAAGAAAATAATAAGTGAAAAAGTCCCCAAAGATTAAATATAGCATGATGCCTATTATGCATTGAATTGTCCCCTAAAAATATGTGTTGTAAATCCTAACTCCTAAACCTGTAGATGTATTACCATTTGGGAATAGGGTTTTCATTATTATGTTAATGAGACTGTCACTGCAGGGTGTGTTTTAAACCAATCACTTTTGAGCTTTAAAAAGAGCAGATTAGCACAGATTTAGGAAGCATAGACACTCTGGTGCCGTAGTCCCTAAGGCACTTGACTGCTAACCAGAAGGCTGGTGGTTCAAACCCACCAGCCTCTCCTCAGAAGGAAGATGGGGCAATCTACTTCTGTAGTGATACTGCCTTGGAAACCCAAGGAGGGGTTGCTATGAGTCAGGTCCAACTCAACAGCACGTAACAACAACAAAACAAGGAAGTACAGAGGGGATGGGGGTGGGGGGAAGGTAGATGACATGACCAACACATGAAGATCACCAAGGAACCGAGGAACAAAAGCTCAAAAGAGACAAGGACATTCCTCCAGAACTGACGGAGAAAGCCTGCCCTTAGAACAGGGCCCTGAATTTGGACTTCAGGTGTGAGAAAATAAATTTGTTTGTTAAAGTCACCCATTTGTGGTATTTCCATCACAGCAGCACGAAAAACTAAGACAATGCCCTTTCTTTCTTTCTTTTTTTTTCAATTGTGATTTGGGTGAAAGTTTACAGAGCATTCACTTTCCATACAGCAGTTCACATACACTTTGTCTCATGACAGTGACTACAATTTACCACAATGCAACAGCTGCCCTCCCACTACCTTCCGATAGTTCTCTTCCCTGTGTCCATCCCTCCATGCACTCCTGCCCCCTGAGCTGTCCCCCTGTGCATTAACAGCCCTTCTTTCTCCCATGATTGTTCTCTCCAAGGAGTGTATCTACCTCAGGTAAATGTTCAACTCATATGCCTGTCTTTTGTTTGG